GGAGGCATTTGACAACCCCTTTGGATGTGAATATCCTTCTACAGCAGTAGGCCTTTTCATCAAGGACCAGAAGCTCCAGCTTACTCTTCAATGTGGGGAAGCTCTTTGCATGCCAGGAGCTTCAGGTCATGCCTTTGGGCAGGATTCCCATACTTTTCTTGGGCACTGCCCCAAGGCACCTTCTCTGCCCCATGTCCAGCCTGTGTTTCTGTAGGAGTCAGGAAATAGGGACCTGAGTCCTTCTTACCACTACTTCTGCTCTGGAGGAGAAAGTGAGGCTGCTGACTTTGCATAGCCCTCCCTCACTTAAATCCAATTCACTTGCAAATGGTGGCATCATCTTCCTGACGTCATGTTCCTTTTCAAGAAGGAAAGACAGACAACAACAACAACAACAAAGGTGTGATTATAGGCAAGTGCATTAACATCTCTGTTAAATGGAGATAATAACACTTACATGGTTTAGTCCACAGGTTGTAGTGAAGGTCAAATGTCATTGTTTGCATGAAAGTGTTTCATAATTATAAAGTATTGTGCAAATGCCAACAATAAGCATCCTTAATATTATTATCATTTCCCTTAGATAGGGACCTTCTCACTTGCCTGACACCACCTTTTTCAGAAATTGGAAATGTGATCATCTCCTTGTTATTAAGAGAGACAGTGTAGGGAAGTAGAAAATACATCCAGTTGAAAGCCAGGCAACTTCTGGTTTTAGATCTACATAGATTGTTCATCGTCTCCCTTGCTATTTTTGGAAACTCTTTTTGGGGCTCTCAGCATCCTTGTGAGTAAAAGAGATAAGGATGAGTCCTGGTGACCAGGAAAGAGTTTCAGACTGGAGGACAAGAGATCTGGGTTCTAAATCCGGTTCTGCCACTAACTGTGTGCCCTCTTGGAAGACTGTTTCCCTTTTGGGCCTCAGTTTCCTCACTTGTCAAATGCAAGGCTGGAATTAGGTGAACTTTAAGGTCTCTTCCAATTCCAAAATCCCATGATTTTATTAAAACTAACCCCACAAATGCAGCACTTAGTGGGTATAATTACAAATGAGTCATTTTTTTAACCCATCCCAGGTTCAGTGGGTTATCCATTCAAAGTCATAGATGCCACCAACTGGTTTCTTTTGCTAGCTACCATTAGTTCAAAGCAAAACAAAACAAAACAAAATATTAAATTAAACAGCTTAGCAAAACAAGGGACAAGATAGAGTCACACACTACCCATCTCCCCTATGCAATAAGGAACATCCTCTCCTGAAGATTTCCATGCCATGAGAGAAGGTGCACTCCAGGAACACACATGGGCAGGGAACACAACTCACATGGGCAATATACAGGTATGGAAAATGAATTGACATGTTTTGTTTTGCCCCAGAGGACAGAACTGGGAGCAAATGGGTAAAAGTTTCAAAGGAGCAGACTTGATGTAAGTGTAACAAGTGAAATTAGGGCATTCTTGATTGTACCCATTACATGAATTAAAACTTTCCTACAATTAAAGCTATTCCAAAATGGAACTGGCTGCCTCAGGAGTCAGTGCCTCTATTGAAGGTCTTCAAGCAATGCCTTGAAGGCCATTTACGGGGTATATTATAGAAAGAATTCTTTTCCTAGGCTGGACCAGATGGCATCTAAAGATCCCTTAAGAATCTTAAGTTCTATGAATGTAATGCAATACTATTGTGCTATAAGAAATGATGAACAGGCTGACTTCAGAAAAATCTGGAAAGACTTGTATGGTCTGATGCTGAGTGAAGTGAGCAGAATCAAGAGAACATTGTACACAATAACAGCCATGTTATGTGATGACTAATATTGATAAACTTAACCCTTCCCAGCAATACAAGGATCTAAGAGATCTCCAAAGGCCTTGTGATGGAAAATGCTATCCACATCCAAAGAAAGAACTATGAAATTTGAATGCAGATTGAAGAATACTGTTTGCTATTTTTTTTTCTCTTCTGTTGAGTTTTGTTTCCTCTTTCTGGTGGTTCCTCCTATTGGTTCTAATTTTTACTTACAATATCACTAATGTGAAAATATGTTTAATAAGAATGTATATGTATAGCCTATATCAGATTGTGCATCGTCTTGGGGAGAGTGGTGGGGAGGAAGGGAGAGAAAAAATTTAAACTCAAAAGCATATGGAAAATAAATTAATTTAAAAAAAGAACCTTAAATTCTGTGATTCTGAGTGTGGACTAAGTCAGTGGTTTCAAACTCAGAGATAATAAGGGGGCCACCATTCTGTCAATAACAACTGATATTCATATAGTACTTATTGCATGCCAAGCACTGTTATGTGCTTTATAATCTCATTTGGTATTCACAACAAACTTAGGAGGTCCATGCTATCATTATCCCCATTTTTATGAGGAAACTGAGGCAAATGGTGGTTAAGTGACTTGCACAGGATCACACAGTTAAGTGTCTGAGGGCAGATTTGAACTCAGGTCTTCCTGACTCTAAGTCTGGCACTCTGTACACTATGGTGCCACCTAGCTGCCCCTTACAAGGTCCCTATAGGCCGCTTAGTAACTTAGCTTTGAAATGTAATGTTTTCTATATTTCATTATATTTTCATTTTTTTCTAAATATTTTCTAGTAGCGTTTTAATCTGGTTTTGGCCTCACTTGGGAGTGTTGGGCCAGATTGGCCTAGCAAGCTGCATGTATGACACCTTTTGGATTAAGTGGAAGCACGGGACAGGGAAATGAATGTTGGATATGTAGTCAAAAGACATGGGTTCAAATCCTGATTATGCTATTTAATATCTGAGTGACTTTGGGGAAGCCATTTAAACTCTCTGGGCCTCATTTCCTAATTTGTAAAATTGGAGGGATAATAAGTGTTAGATGAGAGGGCCTTTCCAGCTCTTGATCTGTCATCCTATGCTGTAGACCATAAGGGGCTCTAGGAACTCAAATGAAGAAGAAAAATCTATTGGGGGAGGTGGTCAGCACTTCTGGGGGAAGGTCCAGCATCTCCCTCTCTGTAGATCTGACCTATTTGGTCATACCAATGTTGAGGTTCCAAGGCAGGAGGATGGACCTAGGGGACCCCTCCAGTCTTTGGAGTGGGTTTCACTTGTGCAGATCTCAACAGTGTAACTTGCATTTCGAAGGAGGTCAATCATTTCAAATGATTTCCTATCATTTCTTCCTCTCCCTGAACCATCTTTTTTTGTTTAGCCTCTCTTTGAAACAATAGGGTTGAGAAGGGCCAAAGCCTCCTTCTCACCTTTACGTTGCAGAACCCCCTTAGAAATCAGTTATCATTTGAGGACACAGGTTGCTCTTAGTAAGAAGTTCCCTCAGCTGGGCACAGAGCAAAGAACTCAAAATGAGTTTGCTGTTGACACATTTCACCAGCCTACTGGGCAGAGACCCAGCAAAACAAATAATTCACTGGCCTGGAATTGCCTCCTGTATAAAGGAGAGGAATATCCTGCAGCCCCATCCTGATATTCTTAGTGCCAACTAATAACCGAGGTGGGAGCTGAAAAGATCCTTAAGTACCATCCCACCCACAGTTAGTAACTGTCTGAGGCAAGGTTTGAACTCAGGTCTTTCTGTTCCAGGACCTGACTCCTACTAGTCATTTGACCCAGGAGAAGTCACTATTTCACTCCTCTTGGACTCTATATTTTCACCTGTAAAATGGAAGGGTGGGGGCAGCTAGGTGGTACAATGGATAGAGCTCCAGCCTTGGAGTCAGGAAGATCTGAGTTGATATCTGGTCTCAGACCAGACATTTGACACTTGCTAGCTGTGTGACCCTGGGCAAGTCACTTAACCCTGATTGCCTCACCAAAAATAAAAAATAAAAAAAAAAGTAAAATGAAAGGGCTGGATAAGATCTCTAAGGTGTCTTCTAGCTTTATGCTTATACTCGTCTAAATATTCCTCTGCTCTAGCCAGGCCATTCTCAACTTCCCCTGAATCGTCTTGTGGGTGCCAAACTCTGAGTCTGCCAATCTTCTACACCCTCATCCTACATCAGCCTCTCCTGGACTCTGAGGCCCTCCTGGACAGCTATGTAACTCCTGCTTATCATTCCAGGTCCTAGCTCAATTCCCAGCTTCTCTGAGAAGTCTTCCTGGGTCACCCCAGCCCTTGGTAATCTATCCTTCCTCTAGACTCTTAACAGCATGGTATAGGTGGTGCAGTAAATAGAGTGTCAGGCCTGCAATCAGGAAGACTTCTCTTCCTAAGTTAAAATCTGGCCTCAGAGGAGGGGCAGCTAGGTGGCACAGTGAATAGAGTACCAGCTCTGGAGTCTGGAGGACCTGAGTTCAAATCCAGCCTCTGACACTTGACACTTATTAACTGTGTAACCCTGGGCAAGTCACATAATCCCGATTGCCTCAAAAAAACAAAAAACTGAACAAAACAAAAATCTGGCCTCAGAAACTTACTAGCTGGGTGACCCTGGGCAAGTCACTTAACCCTTTTTGCCTCAGTTTCCTCATCTGGAAAATGAGCTAGAGAAGGAAATAGCAAATGACTCCAGTATCTTTGTCAAGAAAATCCCAAATAGGTTCACAATGAGTCAGACACAATTGAAAATTACTGAACAACAACAAATTAACTGTTCCCTTCTCATTTGGCATTTAGCATATCCTGTCTTATTTATTTACTGCTATTTCAGTTGGATGGTGCAGTATGTAGAGCACTGGACCTGCGGTCAGGAAGACCTGAGTTCAAATCTGTCCTCAGATGATTACTAGCTGTGGGTCTCTGGGCAAGTCACTTGGTGTTGTCCTTCATGCTCGAAGAGGACCAAAGTGCCATAACTATGCTGGAGTCAAGGTGGGGTGTCCAGTTGTGACTGATAAGACCAACACAAGCTTGGAAGTCTCTACCACAAGTTGGGTAAAACAGTCTGTATGACCATTTGGGAAGGAGATGTCTCTAAATTTGTGCATCTCACGGGTTTTTTTGTTTTTGTTTTTGTTTTTCTGTTTTTTGAGCTATTATAATTCTGCTTTGCTCATAGAGCACGGTGCCTTCTTTGATGTGAGCATATCATTCTGAATGGGCCTGTGCCAGTGTCTTCTGTGTTTCGCAACAGATTCCAAAATCCTTCAGAGAGACCTTGAGAGTGTCCTTGCATCTCTTCTTCTGACCTCCATGTAAGCACTTCCCTTTTGTGAGTTCTCCATAAAATAGTCATAGGGCAAACATGTTTGGCATTCAAATAATGGGGCCAGCCCATCAGAGTTGCTCTTTCTGCATTAGAGTCTGAATGCTTGACAGTTCAGCTCCTGAAAAGACCTCAGTGTCTGGTGCCTTATCTTGCCAGGTGATCTTCAGAGTCTTCCTACAGAAGTTCAAATGAAGCAATTCAAATGAAGTAATTTAGTTCCCTGGCACGGCATAAGTAAACTGTCCAGGTTTCACAGGCATACAAAAAATGAGGTCAGCACAAAGCTCTGTAGACCTTCAGTATACTTCTCTCCCATATTTTCCTTCAGAGCCTCTCAAACACGGAGCTAGCTCTGGCAATGTGTACGTCAACCTCATCATCTATGTGTGCATCCCTGGAAAGTATACTGCCAAGGTAAGTGAATTTATCCATACCATTCAAAATTTCTCCATTTTCTGCAACTGATAGTTCCATGATTGGATGGTATGGTGCTGTTTGGTGGAGAACTTGTTTTCTTGGTGGTAATTGTTAGGCCAAAATTAACAAAAGCAGCAGAGATTTATCTATACTTTGTTGTATCTCAGCCTTAGAGGCTGTATTGAATGCACAATCATCTGTGAACAAAAAAATCACACCCCAATTCTCCCTCCACTTTAGTCTTGGCTTGTAACCTTTTCAAGTTAAATAATATACTCAGTGTGGTAGCTGACCTTGATGCTGTTTTTGTCCTTTTTGAAGGTATCTGACAACATTGCTGAAAACATCATGCTAAAAAGCATTGGCAGCAACCACAAAGCCCTGCTTCACTCCATTGGTGGCTGGGAGAGACTGAGAGCATTGTCCACCATCTAGAACCCATGCAAGCATGCTGTCATGAAATTGATGTACAACACTGATGGACTTCTCCAGGCAACCAAATTTTGTCATGATTTTCCACAAGCCCTCACAACTTACAGTATCAAAAACCTTGGTCAGATCAATGAATGTTGGGTATAGACCTCCATTCTGCTCCTAGCATTTCTCCTGGAATTGTCAGGCAGCAAATGCCATATTGACTATTACTTGTCCCTTTCTGAAGTAACACTAGCTCTTATGTAGACAACCATTTTTGGGGGGGGGGTTAGGCAATGGGATTAAGTGACTTGCCCAGGGTCACACAGCTAGTATTATGTGTCTGAGGCCAAATTTGAACTCAGACCCTCCTGAATCCAAGGCCAGTACTCTATCCACTTTGCCATCTTGCTGCCCCCAGTGACTGTTTTCCAGGAGAAGGAATGGCCTGTTAAGAAGTACTCTGGCAAGAATCTTGCCAGCAATGACTAAGAGAGAGATACCCCCCTCCTCCCATGATTGTCAAAGGACAACCTATTTTCTTTTCCTTTTTAGAGATGGACGATGGAGGCATCCTTGAACTCCTGGGGGGAAACCTCCTTTTGCCATTTAACCTGGAAGATTTCAGTTAGCTTTTGTATAAGCAGTGGACTCCTTGTCTTGTAAATCTCATCTGGAATAGAATCAGCACCAGGAACTTTGCCATTTGGCTAGAGAGATGGATTGATTTCAGTCTGAGGTATTTGGTCAATGGCTTCAGCACTGGTTGATAATGGGCTATAGTGTTCAGCCCATCTCTCTAGGATCATGTCCTTATCACCAATCAATGTAGCTCCATTGGCTCTAAGTGGTTGAGATGCACCATAGGTCTTTGGCCCATAAATAGCCTTCAGGGTATCATAAAAATGCTGTGGTTTGTTACTATCAGTGTACAAGTGAATTTCATCTGCCTTCTTACTGCGCCAAGAATCCTGCATCTCTCTAAGCTTCACTTTCACTTTATTTTTTATGTAATTAAATGCTACCTTTTTAAAGACAGATGAACTATCCTGCTGGTGAAGCCTGTGGAGTTCTCGTTTTTCATTTAGCAGCTTCTGAATTTCCCCATCAAACTGATTTTCATGTTTGTGAGTGCTTTGGCTCAGATGAGTAAATGCGGTGCCGTACACACTCCTTTTTGGCTTCATTGTTGCCAATCACATATAGGCTCGGCTTCAAGATAGCAATGTTCATGCTTGGAGAAGCTTTCTCATCTATTGATATTTTTGATATTGATATTATGTCTTCTGGTAGTCGTCTTGACTGGGAGCTGCTTCTTTTGTCGGAGAGGATAAGTCTATGATTGGTCCAGCACTCTGTGCCACACATTGCCTTCATCACTCTCACACCCTGTCTCTTCTCCTTACAATGACATTTATTAAATGTCTATTAAATGCCAACGTTTGCTACAAGGGTGCATCCATGAAATTTTATTGCATTTAAGTAAGTGGAAGGCAGTGTTGGTAATGAAAAGGTTGTGGGATGCACAAGCCTGCAGCAGCAAGTGACTCCCTCTGTTGCTGCTTCTGACTCTATTCCTCTCAAGGATTTACTCCCTTGTCTGATAGTCTTTGCCTACTCCGGCATTAAAATCACCCCGTATTACAAGCTTGTCCTTTTTGGGCACACTGATTATGAGGGTCTCCAGGGCTTCATAACATTTTTCTTTGACATCATCAGGGTTCATCGTGCTGGGAGCACAGACACTAATGATGGTGGCTGGCGTGGCATTTTCCTGCAAGTGGAAATTGCATTGTTACGAGTTCATGGTTCACTCCTTTTGGTAGACATATGAGTGTGTTGACTAGATTAATTTTGATTGCAAGATTCACAGCGCTGCCCTTCCCACTGTGGCCCCTCCAGAAAAATGTGTATCCAGCTTTGATAAGTTGACCTTCAATTTCCAGCCTTGCTTCACCCAGGGCTGCTATTTGAATGTGATATCTACTGAGTTCTCTCACAACAAGAGCTATTTGTCTTTCAGGTTTACTGGATTTCTTGTCTATAAGTGTGTGCACATTTCATGTACCAGTAGAGAGTGAAATCATCTTCACAAAAGTTTTTGTACTTTTTTTGTGTGTTTCAACCACAGGGTAGTTTCCCTGCCTGCCGCAGTAAGCAGACAAGGGTTAGGTTTGGTGAAGCAGACAATTTTTAGGGCACCTTTTCTAGCCTGTTCCTCCTGCCGGGGGGTGAGCAGTACAGTCCTTTAAAAATGCTGCTCAGACGCCCGGGAGGCTGCTAAATCCCACTGCTGCTTCAGCCCAGTGAAAAGATGACCCTACGGTCTGGGCTGCCTGTATGCAGGCAGGGTTGTGACAATAGCTCCCAGTGTATCTGCACCTGCTGCTTCATCACTTGCCCATCACCACAGAACTTCAAGGTAGGTAAAAATGGTAAAATGGTGTGGATGATCTCTTTTGACTTGGGCACAATTTCGATTTAAGTGAGACAGAATTATGTGAATTCATAAGCCTCACTCTCTCTTCCAGAGTCATGAAAGTCCAGTGGCAGGACAAAAGTCAAGATGACTGGCAGTAGTCTGGGCTACAGTGGATAACCTTGGCATCTTCAATGTCTGACCAACCTCTAAGTGCTCCACAGTGCCTATCTCAGCCACCTTCATGGCCCATTGGAACAAATTGTTCAAATCTTCTCATTCCACTGGAGAAGTCTTCACATGCTTGGGGTAGACACTCCACTAACTTACCAATGAGTTCGAGGCCCATCGGTTACTCTCAACCTGGTTTGGTCCTTCGGCCAAGATGGTTTCTCAGGGTGTGGCCACTGCTCATGCTACGACTTCTTGGAGCCACAGGTGAGAGTTGGGTGGCAGGTGGACACCAAAAAAGGAGAGCAGCCCTGAAAAGGGTTCAGCAGCCCTCAAAAACCGGGTGCTAGTCTTCCCTGGCATCCATACACCCCCAAAAGGTACTTAGTGTAAAGTAGAGATAATAGCACCTAGCTTGCAGGGTCATTGTAAGGACCAAATGAGATAATATTTGTAAAAATTTGTAGGAGCTAGGTACACATTTATTCCCTTCCCTCCCCACCCATCATTTGTGTTCTCTCTTCTCAACTAGATTGTAAGCTCCCTGAAGGCAATCTCATCATTTAAAAAACAGTAATAGCTTTAAGGTTGGCAAAGCATTTTCCAGATATTATCTCACTTGATCCTTCAAGAATCCTATGAGATCAGGACTTTGTTGCTCCATTTTATAAATCAGAAGACTGAGGTTCACAGAGGTTAAGGAATTTAATGGAATTTAAGGAATTTACCGTGACCACAAAGCTAATAAATGTTGTGGGCTGTCAACAACCAGTCCACAAACATTTATTAAGCATTTACTACGTGTCAGGCACTGTGCTAAATGCTAGGGCTACAATAAAAAAAAAATTCAAGACAGGATTGGAAGCCAGGCCTGTTCTGACTCTAAGTCTAGCATGCTTAATTAGCACTTTTGATTAATAGGTTGTTAAAAACCAAGAAAACTTTAAAACTCAAAAATTTTTAAAAAAGAAGCTTTGATAGGAGAAGAGTGAAGGGGGATGGCAGGTAGTGAGGCTGATATGTCTGGACAAGGGCATGTCCTGTCACAGCCCATGGGCAGCCTCTGTGTCAAGCCACTCTTGTATGTTGTTATTATTGTTGTTGTTGTTGTTGTTCAGTCATTTCAGTTGGGTCTGACATTCCGTGGCCCCATTTAGGGTTTTCTTGGCAAAGATATTGGAGTGACTTGCCATTTCTTTCTCCAGCTCTTTTTCAGATGAGGAAACTGAGGTAGACAAAGTTAAGTGACTTGTCCAGGGTCACAGTATCTTAGGTTGGATTTGAACTTAGGAAGATTAGTCTTCCTGATTCCAGGTCCGGCACTCTATCCACTGAGCCACCTAGCTGTCCCCATTACATATTACCTACCCTTCAAATATCTTTCCTTTGTAATCTTCAAGGACACCAGGAAATGACCAGAAGTGAGTGTCTGAGAACCAGTGCCCCAGAATGGTCAGACCTGCCAGGCCTCATGGCCTCAATGCCCAAGTCAGCTTTCTTCAGGCTTGGAAATGACAGTCCCCCAATTCTCATAATTGGCCCATTTCCCCACTTTCATGTAACAGGCACTGACAGGGAGCCCTGATATAACAAAACCTGCTGCCTACCAGCAGCACAAATGAAACATAATTAATTTACCAGCGGGAAGGCTATAAATAACCAAATCAGAGGGGAAGATTTATTCATGAGGCCCTGCTTAACACAGTTGTTAGCTTTGGCATTACAGGTTAATGAGTGCAGGCCTCCTTCCTCAACATAATAGCGGCTAAAAATAAAAAAGAGAAACTAGTCATACTCCCCTGTGAATCAGACGCCTGGCATTGTCATTTCCATGCTGATACTGTAATTTTCTTGTTCCTCCTGCCTGACTCTTCCCTTCCCTACCCCCATCCCCCAGCACCCCAGGCTAGCAAAAATGAAATCTCTCCCTCTACCCTTGTT